ACACCTAACATACAGGGAAATCTCATTTTACAGTATGATACATCTTTTTGTAATTATCTGTACAAAGAGGGTAGTATCCATGTCATTCGAGTACTGCATGATTAAAATATACAAGGATTTCCCACTACCCAAGGTAGGACCAAACTCCGTCCTCATTCACAGGTGCAAAAGCCCCCCTTTCCCACCTAAAAAATTCCTGCTTTTCTCCCCAAACAATAAGTTGCATTCAAAATTTTATCGGGATCGGAATACGCTAAAACAAACTAGGCCTAGTATAAACAAAAGCACCCCAGGTTGGAAATGATAAGTTATTTTAATGATTTCAACATAGAGCGACATGATTCTGATATGAGCTTGAAAGAGATGTTTTGGTAGGTTTTGAGGATAAGAGTAATAGGTATTAAGGTAAAGAGTTGATATGTTTAAATCCATGTGATATCATGTTTATATCAATATGCAATTATCGGTGTCAAGTTGCCAACACAAATTTCCTCAAGAACTTAAAGAATAAGTGTATGGCAATCATTGACACGTTTTGAAATAAAAAACAATGAAAAAAGACAGAGCAAAATTAATTTGATATATAGGATTCACTATTTCAAGAGAAATAAACATGTTATACAGTAAATAACCATAATTTGTTAATTTCATGAAAATTTAATCCATTGAAGTTTAACCATTTCCTGATAATGGTTTAGCTGTTAGTAAAAATTAAGTTTGACAATTTATTTCATTTTTCAGGTCATTAGGTTACCATACTGAGATTGGTTAGGGTTCCTCTTGTGAACTGCAACACAGAATTACATACACCATCACAAGACCCACATTTCTGTAACAGCTGGGCCAAGCACAATTCGGATAGTTGGCAATATAGAAGAAGACAGGAGCATTAATAGAAATATATGCACCAAGTAAGGAAGTTTATTTCAAATGGTTCATGCTATTAATTTTAAAATTATTTTACACATTTTACAAGATTTTTTTTATTGTCAACCAAAGGTATGTTTAACATTTTTTTCACGAGGTTGCACACACTGAATTGAAATTTGGTAGAATGTATATAGATTTATCAAAAGAATATCTACAAACATCTGTTGTTGATATTATCATTAATTTTATTATAGATGAAATGGGAAAACACTCTCTAGAAAATAAAAGGAGGAAGAGGCAAGAAAAAAGGAAGAAACACTGAATGAACTGACCGTGAGAATCTAGCCACAAAGACAGTTTCACAGGATGCATTTGTTAATGCAGCTGTACATTACGCCCGCATGTGAATATTATATACCAGTTGTAGTTTCGACCATCACTGTAGACACATGCTTTAATAAATATATATCAAAACGTGGAGCTTCTTATTTATCATATTCAGTGGAAGAATATGACATTTGGCGACGAGGATAAACTTTTGTTTTGCTATGAACTCTTTGAAATTTATATGTGACTTTCACCATGCCTACTTACGGAAAATTAACCTCATATGATGAAAGTGAAGACTGGATTCAATATAAAGAGAGACCAGAAAGTTATTTTAATGCCAACGATATTACGGATGCAGGCAACATTGCACGAAAAGTTGCGTTTAATTCACAATTAAGTTCCATTTATAACCCAATTAAACATCAAATTTAGACATAAAATACGAATTTAATATGGATTTATACTAGAAATTTAATTGGGATTTACCTAGGAGTAAAATTTTTTGTAAACTCCTAAATTTAATGGGAATTAAACTTCAATTAAATTTTAATTATAGATCACATAAAAATCTTTTTATACACCAAGCTTAATATTTTATGTGGAGTTTCATGTATAAATTTATTATTTTATTTCACTTTTTCGTGACATTTAATATATTTATACACCAAGTTTAGGATTTTATGTGGAATATCACATATAATTAACTATTTTATTTCACTTTTTCATGACATATAATAGTTTTATACATCAAACTTAATATTTTATGTGGAGTTTCATGTATAAATTTATTATTTTGTTTCACTTTTTCATGACATTTAATATTTTTTATATATCAAGTTTAAGATTTTATGTGGAATTTCACATGAAATACACTTATTTTATTTCATGTTTTCATGACATGTATTTAATATACATGAAATGATTTTGTTTGAAGTTTCATGTATTATGCTCACTTTTTATTCAATGTTACATGATGCTAAATGCAGCATTATTTCACTTTTAAGTCCATTCCATTATGAAGTACGCATATGGATATTAAGCCCATTTAAATATGAGAGACACCATATTCATCAAGTGTACATTCCTTTGAGCAAATGAATGGCTAACAAGACACTAATGATATTCAGAGTTCACAGAGACTAACTTCACATCATTTATTAATATTATGAACAAATAAAAAGTTTCATATAGGCAAAATCATTTAATAGTTTAAAATGTAAAATCACATTGCAGGTCTGTATTGCTAAATCAACAATTTCTTACAATGTTCAACATTTAAACTACTAACTAGTATTACAAACATATTTCATTGGTTACTTTTACCCCGATTAGTGTCTTTTTAGTTGTGCAAGTTGTTTCCATAAATTGATGAACTTCCAAGACAATACAAAACACTATAACATTTTGATTATGCAACAAAACTGATTTGCCCTCTAGCTTATTACTTAATTTCATAACAATTCAAACATGTACATTCATTAAATCAAAATAAAATTATTGATAACTTAATTTGCATTTTCATATTTCAAGTAAGCAAAAAATTGATTTTGACTGATGATAAAATTTCTATCTTTAAACATTTTTCATGTATTAAATACTCTACATGTAGCTTTTTATGCATCTGTTTTAAAAACAAATCTCAAGATTCTTTTTCCTACAGTACACAAGATTTTTTTCAATTGCCAACAAACGTTAAGAGGGTCCTTAAAAAATAAAATGTTCTTAAAAAAAAAAAACATTTATAGAATAAAACAAACTTAAGTTGGAAACAAAAATCAATGAACATGATAGACATGATATAACATTTCATATACAGCAGATAAATGATACTTCTGAATATTTAAGTGTATTTATAACATCATGAACTTCTCCAGTGAGTGTAGAAGAAAATTCAATAGGTTTACATTATTTAACAACAAAATAAATTTTCAATTTTTAAATGAAAGAAACATATGTTGAAATAACACATGTCAAAATTGCAGTTTAAAAACAATATGAATTATGCGACTAATTTTTAAGATAAAAATGAATTGTGTGAACAAAATATTTAAAAAATACAAGAGAAAGAAAACAAACAATTGCAACAAAATTGATTACAATAAAATTGATAACAAAAATTTTAAAATACATAAAGCTAATACCCCCACCCCAATTTACATCGTTACCACACAATCACTGAGCAAACACCCACTCATGTTCCTTTTGAACAGGAGTGGGCTTTTGCCTTACAGATGGAACACTTCCTTTAACCCTTTTCATCATCTGCCGCCGTGAACGCTTAGACATGGTTCGTTCATATTTACTGTCTAATTCATCTAGGATTTTGATGAATTCATCGGACCTCCAAGGGAGGGGCTTTGTTCTCAAAAAGCTGTCCTCATCAGAGTTGTGCTCCTCCTCTGATGACATGTAGCTCAATTCAAGAGCACTTGAGACTCGCTGTTTCTTTGCCTCATCCCAACCCGACTTCTTCTCCACCATACTCCTTCTCCACTGCAATTTCTATAAGCATACAGAAATTATGATTACATAAACATCATGTAGCAATTGTTTTTTGTATACATATTTTTAATTTGTTGAAAATTCATATGGAATATTCTGTTAATACAAGATATGTACCCTCTTTCTCCTGCTGTAGTGGAGCATTTTGTTCTTATGTTGCTCCACTTTTCCTGTTTTTTCTTTGTGTATTTTTTGAGCCATAGACTCAAAATACCGAGCAACTGCAGCTGTAAGAATAAGAAATATTTGTACATGTATCTGAAAATATTAGTAAAGACAATAAAATCATTACATATATGCAGAAAGATTCTACATTTGTACTATGAATACAATTAGCTATGCTATTCAAGGCTTGTGTGTTTATATTTATTTGATTTTGATTGATCATCCTTCAAAAAAAGACATATTGGTTAAAATAAATAGGTCAAGAGTAGGGCATCATTTACACTTTTCAAATAATTTTCAGTTTTCAATTCAACTCTGGTTAAAAAAGCCACAAAACAATACAATTATTAATACATTTACAGGTACAAGAACTCTCAAAATAAAGTTTATTCTTTTAATAGATTTGTCGAAGAAAACAATGAAATATTAGCCCCTATCATGACTTCTTTCAACTTGTAATAGCAACAATTTCATAATTGTAAAATGTACTGTATTCCAGAGTCATAACTTTTCCTGACAGTTGTACGTTATGAAGAAAATAAAATGGCATATATATTTTTTCATGTGTGCAGCCATTGTTTTATTGTGCTTTTTCATAAATATTGCATCTTTGCAATTAAATGCAATTACTATTAATTTACTCAAAAATGTTGAGACTGAGGTTCTCAATGGAAAAAAAATAGTTTACGGTTGAAAGAGGTGACATGCTTTACAAATTGAAAATGTAGTTCACTGCTATCCCATACCAGTCCAGTTGTACACAACTTCTGAAGTTCTGGTAATGACTAACCATTCTTTACATCAAACTCAACTGGCAGTTAAAAGGCCTATATTTTACTTAACAAGTGCCAGATGGGTGATAAGCATTCACCAAGTCTAAGGAAACTTACCCTGTAGGATCCCCTCCTGCACATCATGATATAGCCCTTTTACAAACTGTTTCACAGCCTGTGTGGTGGCCTTGTTCACTTCGGATGATACTCTAAAAATGTGAAAGTTAATAAATTTTATATTGTCTCAAAGGCATATATTTAAGTTTTTTAAGATATTTTTTTCATAAGATTTTAATTAAATGCAGCATTTCAGTACCAGTTTTAAACACTTAAGTAGAAATATAAAAAATTACTTTGGTAAGTTGGGAAGTACATGTAATTGCTATTAAAATCAATCAAAACAAAATCAAATACTTCAGCTTAAGGTCTCCCATCTTAGTTTGCCAAGCAGCATAGCCATCCTCTTCAACAAGCTGCCTATATGCATCATGTACGGCTGTCTACATAAAAGAAAAGTAACATAATTCAGGGTCTTGGGTTTGATTCCTCAGTTGAAACTTCATTTTTCTGTACTTTAAAAATAAGAAAATGGTGCATATCAAAAAGTAAAAAAAAATAAATTTACTTTCCCAAAACTGCTGTTTTATCACAAACATAAAGATATGGGGTCAATTACTGTGAATTGCATGTATATTCAAAACACATATGATCACTGATCAGTGTTGTGTTGTATTATTTTGAAATACTGTAGTATTAAAAACCCAATTGCAAAAGATCATTGTATTTCAGATATAATCATTAGTAAATGTATCCTTCAAAAATTATCAGCAGCATTCAAATTTTGAAAAAATGTTGATTGAATCTTATAGACATGTCTTAAACGTACTCTAATTTTTGGAGGAACATCAAAATGCGGTTCTTCTTTCCTTTTCCCCTTTTCTTTGATCCCCTCTTCCCTCATAGATTTCACTTCATCTTGAAGTTTATCTATCTTCTTTTCCATTGTTTTTAAATAACGTATAATAGCCTAATTAAAATAAAATGAAAGAAATGAAGGATGCACAATGTAGGTTAAGTGTATATATATTTCTGAATACAAATATGACAGTAAGACGCATGAAGAAATATGTAATTTATACAAGTCATTAGACTGATATTAAGTTCATTACAGCATTCACCAACTATCAGTTGCATCTTACTAACTACTCTACTGACTTAATGAAGCCCTTTATATATCTGTTAAATAAACTTTAATCCTTATAAAAATGTTTAACAATAACTGAATTTCTTCAAAAAAGGGCAATGTTCTAATGTTGATTTCCACATACCTCTTCTCCTGGGGAGAACTGGGGACTTGAACTTGGACCAGCCTGAGGAAGAGATTCAAAGGATGGCATTCTAGGAAGCTGGAGGAAATAAATTATTTATCATTATATGACCTATATGTTTAAGCAGAGAAAGGGGGGGGGTATATAGCCAGGGACCTACATATTTGTGTATACAGTTATACAGTAAGAGTATAGGTCCCTGGTAGAGCCCACCCGTCCTCTCCTTCCTTTCTCCTTAATTTAATTACAATGTGTAATATATAGATCATGGGTATCAATTAATGAATCATTGCATAAATTCCATTGTACATGTACAGCTAATGTATCAATTTCAACATGTTCAAGGCAAGAATGCATGTGCATATAAGTACTTACTGATCTACTTAGTCTACGACTGACAGAGTTTTTTGGCGTAGAAGTGAATATGGTCGAGGGAGGTGAAGATGACCTCTTCTTGGAGTTAGGCCTAGCGTTTTTCTTGGAAATACTAGGCCTACGTCCCGTCAAGGTGCTAGGCACATCAGAGTCATCACTACTCTGTTCATTCCCATCTGGGCGATAACTTTCTTCTGAGTCCACCATGTCCACGTAAGAGGAAATTTCATCAGAGGACATAGTGAAATTTAATCACTGTTCTACAGTAAGGATGCGGCAGCGCGGAATAATTGAAATCGAACTTTCCGCCAATTTTAA